GACTGTTCCACGTGCCAGTTTGGACATTTAGACACAACAAAAAGATATCAGAGCGAGTGATAACAACTGATTCATTTAACTAATGAACCACTTCAAAAGGTCGCTGAATTTTTTTAAATCCCTTATCACTTAAGAAAGTATTTTAATTAAATCGTATTCCTCATCCAACTAAATGGAAAACCTCGACCCTTTCACCTCCTCGTCTAAGAAACTTGCGCAATATTCCGTTTTGGCGTCCAACTGAGGCGTGGGCCATAATTAAAACATTTATCAACTTTGTTGACAAATGACTAGAATTTGTTTGTTTTACGCGGCACACGAACTACGGAAAATCTAAAGCGATTTGGGTTTTTTGCGCATTTATGGAAGAACATTAGATACCGGTTGCGTGAGCGATTTAAATAAGCCCTTTTCCTAAAAAAAAACGAAAGAACTTGATTAATGATTAAATGTTTAAAATTTGAAAATATTTAGCAGTTTACCGCAATCCATCATAGTCAAGTGGTATGTATGTTTTTGAATTTTACCAATTTCCCTACCGTGTTTATAATAAAATTTTCCCCTGACTTACTAACACTTGACAAAAACCGAGCTTGTAAGAAATAAGCACATGTTGCGAAGGCGTCAAGAGCCGCAGCTGTCAATGGTTTTTAGCTAACGACTTGGCATAAACATTCGCTGGCAACACTGCGCATAACTAATAGAAATGGCTTTGGGGCACGAATAAATGGGAAAAGCGTGGCACACAAATTTTAAGGAGCGTGTCAGAATATTACATAATATGAATTCCTTTCAGGGAGCGTATGTTACTTGATGTTCGCAATAGTTTTTGATAAAATCATATTGTCCAGAAAAAATATGGATATAGTAATGTTGATGTAATATACAACCCAATGTAATATGTTATTTTGTAAGTAACATAATTTATTGCTCATATATTATTGTACTTATTGTATTGTAACAATTGAATTATTCCAATTTTTTTTGTTTTAAATATATAATATTTTAGCCTATTAAAGCTGCCAAACTTAAGGACAATAATAATTTTTCACATATACATATTTCATAATTAAAATAAAGAATACCTTTAAATATAAAAGCGATATATAGTTCAACAATATTCTTCTCTATTAATGATGTACCATTAAGTGGTGTGCTGTTCGGATTTTCTGGCTTAAATTAAATCCATCAAATTTTGACATGCAATTGCTTGGCAAAAATGTTCACACATCGGGAGAGAATAAATTAGCCGGTAATTAGAGTGGGAACGATGTGAAAAGTCCGTGCCGTTCCATTTGAATTTTCTTGCCCAGCCCTCCTGGCAATTATGCTAATTTTTTCTGGCCTTTCTGCTTGGCCACCAACTGGCGCACATATTTCGGCCATTGTTAAACAGCCGAAAATTTTCACAGCCAAGGACTTCTGGGTCTGGGTTTTGGCCTTGATGTGCGCTTAATTCAATGAAATTTGTAGCAATCGCATTTGAAATTGGCCTGCGGGTTGCTTTTATAATTAAAGCTACCAACGATGATTTACTGAAAATTGGTGCGGAATATTTACATATTTCGTTGCCGGGATTTTTAATTTGATTTTTCGGCCAGAGGGCACACTTCTAGTTTTATAATTAACTTTAGTGTAGTTTCATGGCTAGCCAAAAGTTGTGCATTTATTGAAAAAGTTTTCTGCCGAATTTGCCAAAATGAGTGAAATATTATTATTAATAGTTTCTGGAATTAGACAAATTGTGGTTAATTATTCAAGTGCCTTAAAGCTTTTCATTTGAATTGCTTTTCAAATGATTTTTAAGGAATTTAAAATTGGTTTTCTGGTCAAGCCGACCTGAATTAAACTTAAACATTCCTGGAATTGCATATAGTTTAAGCACATACAAATACCAAAAACTAATATATTCAAGATTTTAAAGTATGCAACAAGTTTACAACAGCAAAGTGACCCCAAAATGACCTAAATGCATGAAAAAGTTTAGCAGTTGCCAAACCACAAACTTTTCAGCGGTCAGTGTGTGACGAACAGAGGGAGTTGAGGGAATTGCGGTGCTAGTTCCACTCTCCGTGTTTGCCCTTTGACCCATGGGTACTTGTGTTCCCAACCCTTTGATTACTTTTTCGTTTATATCGCTTATTCCATCCTCTTCACACCTCCCATCCGACTCCCTTTCCTCTTCCGATCCCTTTTCATTCTGAAAAAGCTGCAAATTGAGTTTACTTGCATTTTTTCCACATAGAAAAATATATACAGTATCAAAAGAAATACATTTAATTTAAATAAAAATGTTAAATCGATACTTATTTATTTTCTTTAACACTTAATGAATTTTAAATAAATATAGTAAATCTAAATAAATGATAATTCGACCAAATCGTTTTTTATATGGAAATGTGTATATTTAAAAATACAAATTATACATAAAAATAAATTTTTTTTGAATTTTTTCAGTGCTCTTACCACTAAAGAGCGAATTGTCCGTTCTCGTATCGTTAGTGTGTGTATTTGTAGAAGACAATATCAAATACCCATTTATACATTTTCAATGGCATTTAGCTGGCCATAGCATGAAAAAGATGGACTCTATTGATTTAGGGCTAGTGTTTTTATTTCATTTCATCGGCTTGTGTCTGCAAATTGTAAATACAATTTGGGATTTACAGATGTACCCTGAATGTATTTTAAGGCAAATACCAAAGCTTTGGTTTATTGAATCGCAACCATAAACTGGTTTCTAATTGCATTTTGGGCAGAGAAAATATTATTACAGGGCATACAAGTGTTGCCAAAACTCACAGACCTTGAAATTAATCCAAGATTATCTCAGGCAAACATTTCCATTTAAATTGTAATATTTATTAACCAATTCAGTTGTTCATTATGTTTTTTGTCTTTGTATAATTGAGTTCATTAAATTTACAATCACCATTGTCAGCTCAATTATATGTAGATTTTTTTCCCCATTTAACAGATTAAAGAATTTAATTAAAAGAGCGACAATTACAAAATTGGGCAATAAAGTCTTGAATTAATGCAATGTTTGGGCCTATTTCAGAAATTAAAACAAAGAAATTATGCAAGGCAATGGCTGGCTGAGAATTTAATGCGCAACTGCGTTTGCCACCCAAGATTCGAAGGTCCTTTATCAAAATTTATGGCAGGACCCTCGGGACAGTTGCATGAATGATGAACACTTAGCATTTTGTAATTTTGAGTTTGTCATGGGAAAATCTCAATTGATTTCGCGTACTTCCGGTGTTTGGCCTTTTTAGGCCCCTTTAGGTTCAATCCAAGTCATATATCATATCTACAGCTCGATCTTTGTCCTGAAACTGCTGGCCATTAGCAGCTACGAATTGGGTCATCAGTTTTCGTCCTTTATTTGTTTCTCTGGGTGTTCCACTCCCACTCGAACGATGTTGACAAATTCGCCTCGCCCCTTGATTAAAATTACAATTAATCAACGCGCTTGACGCTCTCAACATTGCCATTTGCTTTTTAGTCACTTTTTACTGTCAACTGTTCGCTTATTTTATTCGCCCTTATGCCAGCAGGATTGTCAGAAGGACCAAGGGAAAACGAGTGCTTGGTGTTTAAGTGCCAATCACTGGGTTTTTGCTAGCAGTAAATGTCTGGGAAATTAAATTCAAAGGCCAAATTAAATGGTCATTCGGGGCAGCCAAATGCATCCCATTGCATACTTCGATCGTTCTTCACAAGGCCTTTAATATAAAATAATTTCAATGTTTTTTTATGTAGAAACATTTTGAAAGGGGTAACATCTTAAAAAATTACAAGATATCGACAAAAAAATACAAACCATGTTTTGAATGCAGGTTTTAAGGGAATTAAACCACAATTATTTTAAGGTATACCACTTCAAAATCGGAATTCTGTGAGAAAAGTTATGGTCTTAAAAGTGCGGATTTTGTGTCACTTTTCTGCAAAGCCATTTTTCGAAAATTTGGAAAGGGGTAACATCGTAAAAAATGATAAGATATCGACCAAAAATTACAAACTATGTTTTAAATGCAGATTTTTAGGGAATTAAACCACAAGCATTTAGAGGTATACCACTTTAAAATTGGAATTCTGTGAGAAATGTTTTGGTCTCTAAAGTGCAGGTTTTATGTCACTTTTTTGCAAAGCTGTTTTTCCAAAATTTGGAAAGGGGTAACATCGTAAAAATGGCAATATATCGACCAAAAATTTCAAACCAAGTTTAAAATGCAGATTTTTAGGGAATTAAGCCACAAGCATTTAGAGGTATACCACTTTAAAATCGGATTTCTGTGAGAAAAGTTATGGTCTTAAAAGTGCGGATTTTGTATCACTTTTCTGCAAAGCCGTTTTTCCAAAATTTGGAAAGGGGTAACATCGTAAAAAATGGCAATATATCGACCAAAAATTACAAACCAAGTTTTGAATGCAGATTTTTAGGGAATTATACCACAAGCATTTAGAGGTATACCACTTTAAAATCGGATTTCTGTGAGAAAAGTTATGGTCTTAAAAGTGCGGATTTTGTATCACTTTTTTGCAAAGCCGATTTTCGAAAATTTGGAAAGGGGTAACATCGTAAAAAATGGCAATATATCGACCAAAAATTACAAACCAAGTTTTGAATGCAGATTTTTAGGGAATTATACCACAAGCATTTAGAGGTATACCACTTTAAAATCGGATTTCTGTGAGAAAAGTTATGGTCTTAAAAGTGCGGATTTTGTATCACTTTTCTGCAAAGCCGTTTTTCCAAAATTTGGAAAGGGGTAACATCGTAAAAAATGATTAAATATCGACCAAAAATTACAAACCAAGTTTTGAATGCAGATTTTTAGGGAATAAAACCACAAGCATTTAAAGGTATAACACTTCGAAATCGGATTTCTTTGAGCAAAGTTATCTGCAGTGCAGGTTTTAGGTTCCACCATAAAAAAGACAGAAAATCGGCAAAAAGTCGAATAAACATTTATTTCAATAGAAAAAGAAATTTAATCTCTTACCAACAGAAATGTTTTATAAATAGCTCTTAAATAATAGTTAGACTAGACCTAATTCATTTTATTTGGTATCTGAAGATGCGCTTAGCACTTAAACAACTAGGTGAAGTTGAAACTTAATCAAGTATATCACTTATCAAGAGGGGTTACAAAATGTTCAAGGCTGCTTCCAGGTGATCCTTATTGTTAAGTAATACCCATTATTTTCCAGCAGAGCGAAGCCTCGGCAAAAGGGGCTCTCGATTTACGTGGACAACGCTGGCGGGAAAATATTGGAAACAGCGATGAACAATTTGTTGCATTAATTGGTCTGTACAACGTAGTTAAATATTAGTGGGTAGTTGGATAATTTACAGGGCTGAAAATGGGGATGTGAGGAGGTCTCACAGCCAGAGGGCGTCGATTGCGTCTTCCACATCCTCGTCCGCAGGACTCGGCGGCTGCTCACTGACCAAGACAGCCTTGGCCTTGACCTCATCGGAGCTGCTGAGGAGGACCATTAGAAGGACACTGCTGCGTCTGTTGATGGGGGTCTTGCTTAGTTCTATATCCTGATCGGGGGACTTATCAGTATCCCTAGCCTTTTGGTTCCGCAGCTTTCTCAGCCAATCCGTGGTGGGCCAGATGCACTTGCTGCCACTCCCACTGCGCCGTCTGCGATGTGGCCTGGGTATTGTGCCCTCCTTCTGGCCCAGCTTCTCCACCAGGCTGATGTCGTTGGGAGCGGCTGCATGGATGACATCGGGACATCCATCAACTTCAGTCGCTGCCAGTGCCATCGACGCAGTTGCTCCGCCAACAGCCCGGCCGCTGCTCTCGTGCTACACATTTGTCACTTGGGTCGTCAGCCCGAGATCGATGGCCATGCTCTTGCTAACGGCATCCGTGTGGAGCAGTCGCTGCCTCCCATAGCCGCCCAACCCGCCGCTTCCCCCACCCTCCGCCCATCGCCGTCGTGCTGCGAAAGGGGTAGCCACTTGTCCAGCCAACGAGGCCGGAAGAGCAGCGCGAACGTGCTCCGGAACTGGCGACTCATCGAGCAGTACAGGATGAAGTTAATGCTCGAATTAATAAGCGCCAAGATGTCCATAAGGTCACCTGAAAAGGAGGAATTGAAATGCAATTAATGGGCTGGGCTCAAGCCAACTTCAAGGTCAACTTTTGTAACTACATACATACACAAAAAAAATTAGGCCTCATTCGTTTTTAAGGAACGTTAAAATAGGTCAACAAGTTTAGCTAAAGCTTTAGGTTTTTTTAATAATATTATTTAAATATCAGTATTTAATATTTTAAATTGGCTTAAAATTTTACAAACAAATATTAATAAATGTATTATTTTTTTAATCAAATTAAAAAATGTTAAACCCCAGCGAAATTTACGACTAATATTTTTCCAAAGTGTAGTCGTTAAACAAAATGAATACTTCTAGAACATGTCAAGGCCAGACGCAGAACATTGAAGCCTCAAATTTGTGGTGCAATTATGGTAGTCAACGGTGCGTATGATTGATGGCTGTGCCAAAGCTGGGCCCACCAAATATCCAGCCATAAATTCAGTCAATTATCATACCCAATAAAGCAATTACGGGTCGCAGACAGAAGAAGGAGTAGGGTTTCTAATCCTGAAATACTCACTCAGTTTTAGGTAGCACTGCAAGAAGAAGGCATCGCCGAGTAGGACATTCAGCAGGCCCATAATGCCCTGCGGAAACTCAGTGACCAGGAAGAGCAGCAGGACAGCCAACAGCATCCTGGTGGTGCGATCCGTCTGCTTCTCCTTCTCCAGCAACTTGCAACTCTTGGGTTGCGTTGGGGTCACCACTTTGCCATTGACAATAGGCTGCATATCGCTGGCCGCATGACAGGCCAGGATTTTCCGCCTTCTCTTGGCCTCCAAAAGTGCGCCAATCAGTCGCACGGATAATATGGTCAGTGCAAAGCAGGGTATCAACTTGATCAGCACACTGTATATCAGGAAGGTGGCATTCCTGAACTGGCGATCGTGCAGCGCCAATGCACTGTGATACAACTTGTAGACAGTCACATTTCGCTCACCCACCGCCGAGGAAGTGGTTATGCTCGTACTTAAAGTTGTAAGAGGTATCACTGTGGTCAGGCCAAGTAAACTAACTGCCGTTCCATTCCCCGAACCACTTGGTATCGCCCAAGAAATATCTGGCGTAGTGCTGGACATCACCTGCATGGTCACATCCTCCTCGCGATTGTAGTCCAGGATGTACTGACTCAGGGGCACGGAACCGATCGTCTTGCCATGGGCATCCAAGGTTTCCAGGAACTTGGCAATGGCCGTGACCAAGTAGAGCCAAGGTGACACCACCAGGACGCAGACCACATAAGATGTGGCTATGGTAATCAGGGTAGTCCGCATTCCACACCAGATCCGATTCCTCTGCGGATAACTGACGGCTATGTAGCGCCAAACAGCGAGGGTCACTGTCAGCCAAATGGAGATGGTGTGCAGCACTTGGGGAAACACCGAGTGGAACTTGATGAAGCAGGCCCAGCTGTAGCTCAGCTGCTCCTCCCGCGGCAATCGGGCACTCAGGATGTAGTCGTGCACCGTGTAGGGTATGTACTCCAGCATCACAGCCAGATCGGCCACCGCCAAACCAGTCAATATGGCATTCGTGGGGGATCGCATCTCCCTTCGCGTCAGCACAATGATGTTTAAGGTATTCGCAATGGTTCCCAGGATACACACAATCAGCGAGAAGTAACCGTGGAAGTATTTGTAGCTGTTGGGAGAATGGTGAGAAAAGTAACAGGGAAAAATATTAAACATTTAAAATTAAGGATCAAGTATAGTTTACTGTATGGTGTAATTCTTAGAACAAACATTATTCTTAAACTTTATTTTAAAATTAAGATATACTATACAAAGAAATGAGTAATATCTTTGAGCAGACCACATAAAAGTATATTTTTTACCAAATTTATTGCCCTAAAGCTACAAATCGCAAAGTACAAGCAGTTATGATTAGGACATTTCAATTTTTGTACACATTTTGTCCGCCCTATTGCACATTGTAAATCTATTGAAATTCGGATAGCAGCGGCAGTCTTCGAATTAAGTCATCCATGCAAATTGTTCATTCAAAAAGAAGGAATGAAATTAAAGATAAATAAAGCTTACTTCAGACAAAACTTTTTTGCTGAATTTATATTGGAAAGCCAAACAATTTCCACACCAAAAATATTTTTATCTTTTTTTCTGTTGAATCTTCTTTAAAAAAACATTGTGGGAAACCATTAATTTCGTCAATCTCCTCTCTGCGCCGAATATAAAAAGGACCTTTTTCCCAGTATTTATTAAGCCTAAAGTAAAATGCTGCCTGCCTGCACGGATTAGATGCACTTGGTTAGCCTTTTGCCACCTTGGCCGTAGGCAATTACACACATGATTTCATTATGTGCGCCCCGACTGGCAAATCATTATGCAAATTACATTTAAAAAAGTAATTAATATGCAGACATCCCCGGGGCGTATACTTACTTTGTGTGAAAATCATCGATGCCGGTGCCGCAATAATGCGGCTGCGACATGTTCGTGACCATGCTTTCAATGATGAGGTGGTCAGATGGTCGGATGGTAGTCGGTGTTGGTGGAAAGTCCTGGCAGAGGACTCCGTTTGATTGACCGCGGTGTCCGGCTGCCAACTCACTGCCCCACGCTGCTCCTCGCTCGACTCATTAAAATTCCCTTTTTTCGGAAATTCCAATAATTAAATATGCAAGCTGCGTGGCGAAAATGTTACCTGCAAATAAACAAAGGCGTTAGTTGAATGAATTTGTCGATGTGGTTTTAAATTGAAAGGTGAATTTAAGCTTTCACATTCCCAAAAGACCAAAGCATTGCATGCCACATGCAAAAAGGAAAATGTATTGAAGATCCAAGTTCAGGGCAGGTCAAAAGTATGATTCCAAATGAATCAACAAAGAAATGTCATTACCATTTGCCCAAAATGGTCAGAAAACAAGGCCAGGACTTGTAATCAATATTGCGCATACGACCAGTGGGCCAGCAAAAGCAGAAGCAGAAGACTTCAGCAATTTGTGGGCAAATGATGAAACAGGCTGTTGCCCCACATTGTACACTTGCATAAAATTGGACCACATATCGAGACATTACATTACTCATGCTTTTTCCAACTTTAGGTCGAAATAAAAAATATTTTCAGTGTGACTTTGCCGAGTAAAACCACTCAAGGTCCCACATACACATTCCTCGTTGACGTAATTCCATTAGACAAATGAGGAAATATGGAGAATGCTGGGATTCAAAAGGAATTCGACTTCACTTTTGCTCTTTGCCCAACCGCAGTTGCAGCTGCATTGTGCCAGTAACATTTAATTAAAAGTAACTTTCTTATTGCCAGCCAAGTGACAACTTTCCGGAGTGTTCAGCATTCTATCCGGCAATAAATCTGGACATTAAAAATTGGCCCAAATGTTTTGTCAGCCTTGAAGTGATAATAAAATCTTCAATTTGTATTCATGTTTGTCCTATTTTGTTTGTGATTTCATGCTCAAAATCTGGATTTTGGTTTTGTAGGCCGGCTTAACTTCCATTACAGTGATTAAGACTTTTTGGCTAGGCTACTTGGCCCAAAATGGGCTTATACCTTCCCAGGGTTTAATGCTGACTGGCCAAAAAAGTTGTAAGCATAAGCTTTTTTGTTTATTTGTGCCTAAGTAATTATAAATGGTATATTCGACCATGAAATAGATAATTAATCGTTCTCATGAATATTTTGTTTGTGTAACGCCATGACTGCCTTTAAGGCAGCCTCCAATGTTAATGCTAATTTGAACATGTGGACAAGGCTTATAATTGAATTGGATTCCGTTGCAAGATTTCGTCGAAGGCCGGCACAAAATTACAATGCAAACACGCAGTAGTAAAGCAATAAACAAATGCCCCACTGTCTCATTTGGTCGCCACTAATGTAACTAATACGCACCGTATGCCGCACATTACAGAAGTTTTCGGGGATTCCAGTGGGCTGAATTGTACAGGGGGTTGGGCTACCCAGTGTCAAGTGCCTGCTGACCGAAGGACTAAGGCCGTTAAAGTTGCGGCCGGTCACGTAAATGCGAGGACTTGTTGACTATGACAGAAACAGCGAATATCTTAGGGGTTTTTTTTTGTTTGGGGCTGGAGGCCCCAAGCTCAAGTGCCTGGCAATGGCAGCTGACAGGCTGATAAAAGGAGGTGGCTTAAGGAGGTCAAAGGACCTCAGACAAGGAACAACACTTGCCGCTTAATAGACAACACCGCACAACAAAACATCCATTAAAACGATCTAATGAAGCCATCGCCAGCTGCATTATTAATGCCACCCCACCAGCCGGCATAATGGAATCACATAATCATCTCCCTTCACCGCCCCATTTTAATTACCGCACCACGCCCCCCTTGACAGTTGTCCAACTGCAAATGTCCACACAAAATGGAAGTTTGATTGTGGTTTCTCCATTAGCCAAACACGGTGTTGTAATGACCGCATCCGATTATCTGACAATGGAATCGGTTATCGGGTGGTAATGTGTTCAAAGTAGAATCGGTTTATGAATAGCTTAAAGAGTTAAAGTATATGGAACCATTTTGTATAAATGTTATACAATAGAACTTGATTAATACCAATTTAATAAAGTGTCAATTCTGTTCTTTAGGACATTAATAATAATGATTTTAATAAAGGTTTTTTTTGCCAACTAATTGTTAAATTCTAGAACTACTATTAGCCCAGAAATGGTTTATGGCAATCATTTTTTTTTCCTATTAATCGTTGTTTAAATAAAACGTAGTACATAATATGTTTAAAATTAAATTTTAAAAATATAAATAATTTTTAAAATATACAAAGAATGATAAAATTATTTTCTACACCATACAAAGCCATTCTGAACCCATGCAGTAGTTTTCTTTTTTATGTACCCAATGTGCTGGGCACAAGGCATTTCAGCCCAAATACAATTACATCTTTGGCCTGTCCTCAAGGCATGACCACACAAGCGAACAGAACACTGAATCTCTGTGTTTTCCTTTTGGCTTTGGGCCATATAATGAGCATGAAAATGTAGTACTGTATGTAGACTCAGACCCCTGGTCGAAAGCCATGTGAGCTGGCTCATTTCGCTGGCCGGAAATACTTCGCCAGGATGGAGAGCCCAGGAGAGCCCTTCATGTGCGGTTTGGAACCGCTGTGAATTTATGAAACGAAAAGCTCTGGCACACATTTTCAGCATTCCCGGGCAATCACTGGGGATGAGAGTGGAAAATTATGCCAAAAGGTAACAACAGCCACGTGCAGCTGACCGGGTTCTCTTAAAGTTGATGTATTTTTCGGTGGCCGGAAATCCGGTTTTGAAGCTCACACGCACACGCTTCAAACATTTGAGTTTGTACTTAGCGTTAACCTCCCACTCACCCCCCCTGTCTGGAAAAAAGGAAAAAAAAAATATGGTAGGATGGAGCAATAACAAAACCGGAAGCCATCGTCAAGGACGATAAAGTGGCGAGGGCAGCAACAGCAACTCGCATATAATTGAACACTTGTCATGGGCTCACTCGGCGTATGAGCAATATTCCGAAACAGGCAATTAAAAACATGTACACCTACAAAAAATGTTCTCTAAAATGTTTTTCGATTTCATTAAAACACTTCCGCATTTTTTTTTGCATTAATATAGTATTTATATTTTGAATAGCCGATCTTAACATTGTTTGCATGTTTTTGAGTTAATTTTTTAAGTTCTAAAGTAATTTTTTTTACTGTGTTTTCGGTAACAGAGTATGCCTGCAGTGGAATTTTTCCCATTTTTTTCCAGCCATCAAAACACAATCAAAACCAAAATCAAATATGACTTGCGGTTTATGCCAGAACAAAACAGAGAAAAAACTGCAGGAAAATTATTCTGCTGCCAATTTCTTCATGTTTGGGATGTGGCTGGAGGGCGATTTCCCAATTCTTCATTCTTCATTTTCCACTTGCCACTTTCACATTTCAGTCTCCACATCCGCTTGGCAATTTCGTTTCGACCTCTGCATGTGGAAATTTCTTGGCTTCTCTGGCTGCCTAATTGCTGTGGCTTGTTGCAGAAATTTCCCACTTCGGCATTATTTTTGTACGATTTTTCTGTTAACTTCCTTGGCATTTTGTTGTTTTGCTTGTTTTTGGCACTTCGTCGAACAATCCCTCCCAAAAGTGTTTACCACAGTTCCCTCCTGTTGAACTTTGTGCTGTTGAAGGTCTCCAGTTATGTTGGCAATTTTTCCTGCCAGAAATTGTAGGCTGCTCAAGTTCCTGCTTTTGAGGAATTAATATCTCCATTATTGAGCCCTCTTCAATTACCCGGATATTCCTTGGAAAGTTTGATGGATAGCTGTCGCTCATTGATTTGGGTCTCTTGGAGACTTCAGATAAGATTGAAGGGCATTAGGAAACGTCTTTTTGCTGGCACATATGCTTATTAGTTGCCCGTGGCACCACTTTCCCATTCTGGAGACTCTTAAAAGCTTTTTGTATTGCTACATCTTCAATTTGTTTCGTTTTTTTATGTTGAGTTTTTTTTTTGTGATCGAACGATTTGACTCCTACGCTTTTTTAGCATGTTTGCCATGTCACTTAGTGCACTTAATGTTTTCAGGCCCCAAGGAAAATTTGTTATTGTATAAAATAAGGTAGTTATAAAAATTTAATTTAAAAATTTAATCAAAAGTGGTTTTGAAAATGAAAAAAAATTAAAATCGACATGTTTCAAATTATTGATATTTCTACGTAAAACACCTACAATTTAGTAAAAAGCGAAGTTTTAAGAAGACCTGTTTTCCACGATATTTTTTCCTGAGTTCAAACGTACCAATTATTTGTTCTCGCCTGGCTTGGCATTGTGTCCGTGGGTATTTGCTCATTGATTTCACGCTGGCTTTATCGAAACCGAAACCCCAGGCTGACTCAGTCTATATATAGTATATATATGTGTGTGCTTTCGTGGGTGGAAAGTGTCAACATGGCGAGTGTCAACGCTTTTGCCGGCGCCTCGCTCAAATATTTGCCGAGTTAAGGCGCCCCGAAAGTCTGCGCCCAAACATGAGCGCATTTCGTAATTAAGCATTCACAAAACGCTTTGGCTCAGCGGGAGTCAAACTAGGGGCAGTTGCGGGGGGGTGGTTCCGGAGGGGGTGGCCAAGGGATCGTCCACAAACACGTCAACGGCTGGCCGACACTTGACAATCATGCAGCCACAGCGAAAAACAGAGGGTCCTACTGCATATTTTAAGGACCCAATCCGAAAAACCCATTTTGACTCAACAGTCACGTGTGGTGCTGCCAGTTCAGAAATTTTCTTTTTTAAATTGGTTGGTTTTAAAAGAAATAAATTGGACAATTTTATTCTGCAATATTTTTAGAAATAGTAATAAAGAAATTAAAATATCAACTGTAAACTAAGGTTTATTTAATATAAATTTTGGAACAATGTAAAAAAAATATGTGGTACCAAACTCAAATAGGGGTTAAATGTATATAAAATATACATACATTTTAAATGTATGGTCTTTGTCTCTAGTAAAATTAGCATATTTTGTTAAAACATTATTTTTATTGTATTTACCCAACTAAAAGTTATTCATTGGGCCACCATTATTTTCAAAGTTATATAAATAGTTGCCAGCACAGGACCCTAATCGAAGGTGTCCTCTGCCATCCTTCCCTCAGGTCAAAATAATTACCGGTCTGTTTAGGCCACAACC